AATTCGATCTTTTGTTGTATGGCCTCCATTAATTGTTTGTCTAATCTACTGGCATCACGTTTTGTCTTCTCAAGCTCTAGAGTTAATTCGGATTCTCTAAAAAAAACCCTTCCCATTAGTAAAGCATATCAAAGATACTGCAGTCTTTCAGTCCAGCTGACTTATTAGTCCCATGTGACCTTTCGGTCTCACCTTTTGTCTTCCATGATAAAAAATCCGACAAGGTTTACTTCATGAAAGTCAATTGTTTTAGTGGGAAGACATCGGATTGGAAAGACTGATAAATCAAGGGCAGCTTTACGAGAAATATTGACAACGGTGTGCGAACACTGAAGCTATAAATATAATCTAAGAATCAAATTCGAAACGAGACTCCCAGAAAATGACTAGAATCATTGTCTTACCTTCGAAGTGCCTCTTCCTTATCGAGCAGTGCTTGCTTAAAAACACTGTTGAACGCCAAATTGGGGTCGCATTCTTTTAAAACAAGCCGTTTACGTTCGTCTTGTAGCTGTTTTACTTCCTCTGCTTTATCTTTTAACTATAATAAAAGAATACAAAAGGCATTGAAGGCATTGAAGTAGAGATACAAGAAATTGAAATGGAAATAAAGAACAGGGCGAAAGGRCTACCAGAACGAAAGGGAACAAAAACACCAGAGGAGCACAGAGGGAAACGGAATATTGAAAAAAGGAAGGAGAGGGAAATCAGGAAAATGCAATAATTGATTCAATAAAAAGATGGGGCATGGGTAAGAGAAAGCAAGGAAAGAAGTGTGGCAGAATGACGCAAGGAAGCCTGAGAAAAGGAAGGGAGAGACCAAAAGCGTCCATCAACACCCAATATCGTACCTTATCATTTAGTGTAACTACTTCTGATTCTTTTTGTTTTAATTTGCTTTTATTGGTTACATTTTTCTCTTTCAAATGTTCCATCTCTTTATAAGCTTCATAAAGATCTTCTTTTAGGTTACGAATTTGATCCAACAAATTATCAGAATAGCTACCAACCATCGATCCCGCATAGCCCTGGAAAACACACGCAACATTAGTAAGACTCTGGTCACAATAGAGACTGTACCCCTAAGGGTACAAATCACTTAGGACCCCTAGGGTTATAAATCACTTAGGAACTCGCTGTCAACCGTGTTGAACACAGTTTCCAAGACTAATATAAAAGACTAGTAGTTATAAATAYAATGTGTTAATAAGGATTTTATTAAATGGCAAAACCAATTAGCACGCAATTTGTYATTAGCAAGTAATTTTCTATTAGGTGTTATTGRTACATATTAATCCATGGCTTACCGAATTTTTTCTTGTCAATGCATTCTTTTTATAAACCTTTAAAATATCGTCAACAACTTCTTTAAAACTTTGAACAAACGTAGTCAGACATCCTGATTCTAAATCGTTATTAGGGTCTAGTGGCTCGACCTTCTGCGCTCTGTTCTCGTGAGCCAGTCGTAACTTGTCGTAACATATTCGGAGCTCGTTGTGGGCTTCGATTATTTCCTTTTTTAGCTGTGAAAGAAATGAGCAGTTATCATGATCTGAACGTAACTTATGGGATATTCTGGTTGAATTGAGCCTTCCTCGAAAGAAGCAATGTATAGTACTAATGATATTGTTTTCCTTTCGTTTTTTGATGTCTGAATAAATGAATGCATTGGAGAGCTCCAAAACAATGAACATTTCCCATTTTTTACGAATAGCAGAATCCTCTACGGTCTATAAAAACACTACGATGAAAAATCTGCAAAAAGTTGCTGTGGTTTAGATACTGTAGATGTGAAGAGTTTGATTCGTTGAATTCTGGTACTTACTTCAGAATTCACTTTTTGCTGTTCTTCCAATTGCGCRTAGAAGTCAACGTTTCGCGCGACAAAGCCGTCGATTTCGACGTCATCTTCGTCGTACTCGAGATCGCTGTCGTCACTCTCTTCCTCTTCAGAATCAACACTTGCATACTGGCGAGGTCTCTTGTTAGAGCCCAGGGTTGCTGGGGCTGGAGAGGACGTGATGATCTGTGAACTTATTGAGGAAGTCACGTGATGCTGTCGAGAAAATATTTTGTTATTATTAAACAAACTATATTAATACTGTTATTACCATTATTATTTCTATTATCAGCGTTGTTGTTCCTGCATGATGTTCTATATTTAGTTAACTGCTTTTTTGTATGCCTATCAGTCTATAGTTCATATTTCTCATGGTTCTTTCATTTGCAGAATGATTTAGTGAAAAAGCAACGTTAGTAAAGAAAAGAAGGAGTACTTAGTGCTTGTTTCTAAACAGTGACTTAATGCTAATTAGTGAAAACCCAACGGAACTAAACASAATGAAAATATGGGCATTGGTTGACGCAKACTGTGAAAACTGACAGTAAAAACAAATAAAGMAAAATTGTTCTTATCAAAACATTCTTCAAACATCGCGCTAACATCATTAAAATCTACAAGGATGGAAAAGGATGTCGAAGGTCCTAAAAATGGCGTGGGCGAGGGAGGAAGTACTGAGTTTGAAGTGTTTTTATCATCGTTCATAAGTTTTCACTTTGGTWACACTAATCTTATCATGTTTCCAACACGTTCAAGTCATTTAGACCTACAATAATTGTCATTTATTATGTACCTTTTCCGCTTTTCCTGGTGTCATTTTCGATATTTCTCCATCAGTTACATCCTCGGGCGACATGTCTGAAAGCTCAGAGAATAACGATCCTCGAGATGCTTGATCTAATGACGCCTGAAATGAAACAAAATGAAACAAATAAACATTTATACATTATTTTTTGTAATAACAAATCTATCCAAAGATTTTGTTACTTTCAGTTAAAGGATTGTGTAATTTCAATTTACTGCGTCTTAGAGGGAGTTTTTTCTTAACTTCGAAAGAGACTTCCGAGGAGGTTGGATATCAAGTCGACTGATTGTGCAGTTTACTAAATGCAATACAGCGGTTTACAGGTGAAATAAGCCCTGTACCGTAAAAAAACACTGAATTTTATTGTGTGGTCATTGATTACTTTAACTTTTCCTTCTTCTCACTTTCATTCGCTTCATTCACTTTCAATACCCTTGCGTGCTTAACTTGACGGCACCATTGTTCACCGCAAGAAAGACGACTTCATTATTACCAAGATAAAAAGTACTTTTCCCTACTCCTACGTACACTATATTTGATAGTCTACACAACAAGCAAGCATACTATCGAAAAAATGATTTATCTATTAACGGACATAAACCAAAATTTGTGCGTGCGCAAGAATGATAACACGCTCAATTTCAGCACGTAGATATATGGATTATTTCGGCCATGTGGGACAGAAACCGTTTTTTATCAAATACAATGAAGTTACATCGCGAGTGTTCCTCTTGGCAAAACGCACTGTTATTTATTCGTTAAATTGTTCTGTTTGGTGATGGATTATACGTATGTTTTTACCGAAAAAGGTTGAATTTTCATATAATTTTTTGTGTCATTAACGGCTTATCCGGCAGAATAAAGAATTTGGAGATAAGAAGAAGAAATAAATAATCCAAGTAAAAAGCCTCAAACCTGAATTTTTAACTCATCCAGCTGATCTTTTAGGTGTAAATTATCAGTCTTACTTTCATTTAGYTTCTCTTCTGCATCATCAAGCTAGAAAAAAGAAAAATTTCTTTTAAAGTTGCTGCCGCAAAATGAAATATACTTGCTGGCGGATACAAACAAAACAACTTAGGAGGAATAAGTTGTTTGGGGGTAAGGAGGATGGTTGCATGAGGGCACAGATATCCTTACTTGATTTTTAACATCTTTGTAGTTTTTTTTAAGTTCTTCATTCTTTGTCTGTAATTCTTCTATATCTTTGGACAACACTTCTTTACTGCTTAACAGTTCYTCTACATTTTGTCTAAGAAAATTTCTCTCGTCTTCTATTGTCACAAGCTGGAATATTCAAAGTGAAAAGTTCTTWAAAACCCTTTTTATTTTAACCGCTCTAAAAAGTATGCACTATCACAGTGATGACATAAAATTAGTATAAAAAATTATATAATTTAGGTAATTTTCGATCAACTTTCATGTACAGAACTGTAAACATCAATATCTGCAACCATGTCTCGACAATCTTAATTCATGCATATTTGCTAAATTACAGCATTTTTGAATTTATCCCAAAACAGTTTGCAAAATGAAATAAGTTAAAAAAAATGGTTTGGTGACATCATGGTTAAACATTGAAAAACATTAATGTAATGTAGCTGGTRCTTTATATTTTATGTCAATCACATTTATTGACAGTATACTAAATGTCATGAATGAAGCCATGCACTATGCAAACAAACCACCAGCAAAAAAAAATTCATAAAACACTAAAAAAAAATAATAAACATCCAGCAGTGTAACAAAAAAACATTTCTACACCAGTTAGGTAGGGTTAATTAGTATTATAAGAATGGCTTTTAATATATAAACATAATTTTTTATATTTCCCTCTTTTCCATTCACCTTTCCCTGTCAACTCTTCCCCGATAATCAATGAAAATACCGCTAAGCATAACAACTAGCCTAAGGTATCAAAATTATTTCATATATTGGACTTAGACATCATTTTACATAATAAAGCTCCTTTGAGACARAGACTTCCTTGAAAATAATGCAGTATGCACCAGAAAATTATCAAAACTTCTAAGTTTACTATACCTTTTCACAAAGCTCTTCAAATTCAATTTGTTGATTCTGATAGTCATCGATACTAAAACTCTTTGAAAGGCGCTKCCTTTTCAGACTAGTTAACTCCTCTTTTAGAGCATGATTGTCATCTTTTAGCTGAAAGACAAAATATTCTTAATCAATGACCATTGTACATTATCTTTACATCTTAAATATTTTGGAACACTTTCAAATTTCATTTTGTAGAGCTGTAATATTAGTTATGAGCTGATTTCTATAAGTAGAAAAAAACAACTGTCTGTCAAGTCTACTCCATGCGATAGAAAAAGGTAAGAAGAGCCAAGATGATATTAATGTTCATCAAAGATAAGTGTAACCAAGGGGGTTCACGTCTAATGTTTCAAAAATAATCAAACAATTCAATTTAATTAATTTGATTTAATTAAAATTTTGGTAAAATTATGGAAATTACCAATGGTTGAGAAAAARACTGATATATTTGATGTTTTGACATATACAACAAATTTATGATTTGTGATGAATATTAAGAAGTGTGTTGTTTTGTTTCCTTTTTTTTTCTGAGAAGATTCCCCAATGTGACTTAACCTAACAAAATATGTTTTTTTTACAAAATGACTTCTTTTGGAGATGGAGTCTCTATGSTAACAGCATTCAAAAGCCAATATCATGGTGATTTATGAAGAGATAACTTTGGCCAGCGATTTGTTGTCCAAAACAGGAACTGGAAAYCTGGCCAGATGTTTCTTCCCATTGTTAATATAACATAGCATTTGGAAAAAACTAGCTCCGGATCATAATAAAACGGTTCAAAGTTGGCAGAAATTTATAGGAAATGCAATTTAAACTTTGAATAGAGAATAGTGAATAAATTGGTAAACATAATCATTTTATAAATTATATACATATTCATAATGATTTTCARATTGAACAGGCAATAATATCATATATTTTAAGACATTACATCAAAGTGAAACTGTCTGTTTTTGTCAAGSTTGGATAAATACTTTGTAATTTCATAAAAATTTGAAGTCTTGAAAAGTGGTAGAGGTGATGTTGTCAAAATCTCCAGTGAACTGTGAAATCAGTTCAGGTATCTAGAACAATGACATAATGGGATTATATGACATAAAAATAGAAAAAAATATATTGAAAAATGATCATTTCAAATGGCTATTAAAATAAATGATGGTGCTTTTAGGCGAATAGAGTTTACTTGCTGTTGG